ACATAAACTAATTCCTTTGGGGCATTTCTGCAGATAATAATAATAATAATAATAATAATAATAATAATAATAATAATAATAATAATAATAATAATAAATGTGTGTTTGTGTTTCAGTTGCCAATCACAAGCCCAACCTGCAATATGTAGCAGAAGGATATGGGGAAACCACCCTGAAGAATCCAAGTGACAAAACCACTGCAATAAGTGAGAAAAGGTTTGCATGTGGAAAGGAAACAGATGTATAGCAATGGGAAACCTGTTCCATGTGCAGAAACCCCCCTTTTTCCTCATGTCAAAGATCTCAGGTCTCATGATTTCAAGAAGCAGGAGCAGCAGCAGCTGCTTTCCATCCCAAAGCCAACTGGGACTGCTTTTATTAAACAGCAGGACAGGTAGATGGGACTGGTGCTCCTGGAAACCTGTCAGCAGTGGACTGGTTCACCTGGAATCCTCAGAGGATTTCATTATCCACTGCCAGAAATAGAGCTCATCAATCCCATCCCAGATCCCACCAGCAACTGGGCTCCTCTGAAGATATTCAGTCCATACAAAAATATTAATGTACTGCTCCAGCGATCACAGGGCTGAGCAGGAAATCCAAGGTGCTGCAAACCTTGTATGATCTCATTCTGCCTCCAGACATGGACCTCCAGCTGGATTTAACCAAGCAGGGGGTTAAAAAAAGAAGGTTACTGCCCCTCTCTAGGACTTCTGCCTCAGTTCCTCACCTGTCCAAGGATAACATTTCTCACCTGTCCCAGGATAACATCCCTCCCTGCTGTGCACAACATCACCAGTTACAGTCTCCCACATCACCTAAGACTCCAGGGGTGCTACAGAGAGGATGGATGTCCTTTAAGGTCCCTTCCAAGCCAAACCATTCTATGATTTTATGCTTCTATGAACGTGAAGGGGATGCAGGATGTTACACGTGGGACCCCTCCAAATCCAGGAATGGAGTCACTTCCCTGCCAGCAGGCAAGGTGGGAGCTTCGCCAGGACCTGACACCCGCAGAGCTCTGCCACAGCATCGCCTTCCCTGTCGCAGAAGGGTAAAACCGAACCCCCGAAATAAAGGACACGCACGTGACAACAGAAAGCGGCGGTTTTGTCGGTCGAATTCGTTATTTCTCGCTAGAAAAAAAAAACGATGCAATGTTTGAATGTCGAATGAGAGAAATGTCACTTTCGGTTCCCGGGGTAAGCGGGGGGGATGGAAATAATCCCATTTTTCGGTGGAAAAGCGGCTCCTCCCGGGCGCTACCACAGCCCCGCCCGGGGGGGGGGGAGGACGAGCTCCCCCCGCTCCCTCCGCCCTTGGTACGTGCCGACCGCGTCCTCCGGGTTACCATGGCAACGGGGGGGGAACGGCCGGGAATGGGACCGGGAATGAGCCGGGAACTGAGAGGGTGAGAGGGGATGGGAGCCGTGGGAGAGGGGATGGGGACAGGGCACCCGGAGAGGGGAAGGGAATGAACGGGACAAGGGCCGGGGCACCGGGAGAGGGGAAGGGAATGAACGGGACAAGGGCCAGGGGACCGGGAGAGGGGACACGGGTGTGGGGACAGGGACAGGGAGAGGGGACCGGAATGAACGGGACAGGGACAGGGAGAAAGGACATGGAACTGGGGATGGGGACAAGGGAAGGGGAAGAACTGGGACAAGGACAGGGGCTGAGGGGTTGGGGACGGGGGACGAAGAGAGGAGATGGGGGACAGAAGACGTGGGACAGGGGAGTGGGTGAAGGGACATGGGAAAAGGGATGGGGACAGGGGACATGGAAAAGGGGATGGGGGTGAGGGGACCAGGGACAGGGGACTGGGGTGAGGGGAAATGGGATGAGGAACTGGGAGAGGGGAAAGGAACAGGGGGCATGGGAGAGGGGATGGGGACAGGGGACAGGGGACTGGGGTGAGGGAACATAGGAGAGGGAACTGGGAGAGGGGACCAGGACAAGGGACCAGTGTGAAGGGACCAGGGAAATGGGACACGAGCAGTGGACAGTGGATTGGGAAAGGGAACGAGGGTGAGGGGACAGGGGATGGGGATGTGGGACCAGGGAAATGGGACAGGGACAGTGGATAGGGGATTGGGAAAGGGAACCAGGGTGAGGGGACAGGGGATGGGAACGGGGGAGTGGGGACACCTCGGGTAACACACACCTGGCCTGGCTTTTCTCCAGGAACTGAGGTCCTGCTTTGGCCCCCGAGGGACCTGGGACAGGGGTTGCAGGCAGGGTCTCACCTCCCTCATGGACACTGTGGAGGGAGAGGCAATTCCCAGTGAGATTCCACCTTCCTTGCCCGCCCTGGGCTTTGTCCTCCAGGCTGTGGGTGACCAGTGATGGACCAATGAATACAGGTGTCTGTCCAGGTGTCAGGGTTAGCACTGCTGGTCACACCTGAAAAATCAGGAATTATTTATCACCCACGAGCTAAGGTGACACTCCCTGTGCACCTTTACCCACGTATGTGCTGTGACTAATGTACCTTTTATCATAAACCAGCCTTTTTCCTCACTCCCAGACACTTTACCTTAAGGACTTCTGAACACTTCAATCAAATGTAAAGAAACCCTCATCCTAATTTAGAATGTTCCAGTTCTTTTCACTGTGTTGTTCCCTGTCACACCTCCTTGCTGGTTTTGCATGTCATGTCAAGATGGTATCAAGTCGAATAAAGAGAACATCCAGAATTTATTTGAACTCTCAAAAGTTAACAGATAACATCTTGTTGCTTTGTCTCAGCTTCATTTTCCTTTTCAAAAGCTGGTCATGCATTATTTATGACCACCAGTAGTTTAAGGTAGATTTCATAGCAGTTGCTGCATAGGGACCTTGATATTAACTGCTTAATGAAACATGAGTGTGACAGATGAGGATAAAGAATTCTTGAACAATAAAAGCTCAAATTCTGAGCCTTAGCCAACAATAGTACCCACAACTGCAGCTTTTAATAAATATTATCATTATTATAAGGCCAACAACCCTTTTGTTTGCTCTGTTTTCCAAACACAGGGCTGGTGTAAATAAACCACGGCATGAAACCCTCAGCTCTGAAATACACTGCAGTGTTTTCTCCACACTCTCGCACCGTGAATAAAATCCACGTGCCTCCAAAAGTCCTCGTGCCACCCGTTTTCCACCCTCCCAAATGGCAAAGGGTGACTGTGAGGGAAGGGGGATCTGCCTCCAGCCCCCAGGACTCCCAGGACTCGGACTCAGAGAGCCTTCCTGAGGAGGGGCAGGACCAGCTGGGGCTCCAGCAGAGGATCCTGGAGAATGAGGAGCTGCTGGGACTGGGCTCTGAGGAGCTGGACAGTGACAGCCTGGAAGAGGACAGCCTGGAGGAGGTGAGCTCAGAAGAAGAGACCAGTCCAAAGGGAACACAGAAGAATGGAAGGTAAGGCTCAGATTTCAGTAGGTGAGCAGAACAGTTCATAGAATCATAGAATCATGGAATCAGCTGGGTTGGAAGGGACCTCCAAGATCATCAAGTCCAACCTTTGATCCAACCCCGCCGTGGTTCCCAGCCCATGGCACTGATGCCACATCCAGTCTCACCTTAAACACCTCCAGGGATGGAGAATCCCCCACTTCCCTGGGCAGCCCATTCCAATGTCTGAGCACCCTCTCTGCAAAGAAATTCTTTCTAATATCCAACCTAACCCTCCCCTGGCACAGCTGAAGACCGAGCCCTCTTGTCTTGCTGATCATTGCCTGGGAAAAGAGACCAACCCCCCCGGCTCCCCCCTCCTGTCAGGGAATTGTAGAGAGTGAGGAGGTCTCCCCTGAGCCTCCTCTTCTCCAGGCTGAACAGCCCCAGCTCCCTCAGCCTCTCCTCATAGGACTTGTGCTCCAGTCCCTTCCCCAGCCTAGTTGCTCTCCTCTGGACCTTGTATTCCTCAGAATATACAAATGGCATTTCAAGACCAATTTATGTTGCCCAAGTGCTATTAAAGCACCTACAGACTTAGTTTTAGAGGACCTACAGACATAGTCACACACCAAGATGTACTATTTCATCTTACATTCATAATTACTATGCCCATTTCTCAGCACATAACATCAACTTTTACTATGTTGGCTGAAACATAAAATGACCTATGACCAGTCCAGGAGGGTAAGACGAAGAAGAAAACATCCCTCACAAACCTTTGGGCAAGTTAAATATGAGTCACGGTTGCCCAGCAACCAGGAAGGACATCCATTGTCCGGGGGGGGCATCACCAGGGGTTGGACTTTATGATCTTTATGATCCCTTCCAACCCAAGATATTCCATAATTCTATGATTCTCCAGTCACTGCTTGCAGGGAGAACTTGGAGAGCAAGACAAGAAAGAAAACAAGACAGTACTGAGCCCTCCTCTTCTCATTCCTTACAAAAGGTGCTGAACAAACCAGGCCACTTCTCTTAGAAAACTTACAGGCAAAAATTAATGCCTTGAATAAATGCAGTTTTGTCCTCATGGCTGTGTAAATCTAAAAATTTCCAGGGTTACTGTCAGCTTTAAACATCCTTTAGAAAGCCTTAACTTGGTACATAAAATGAGATTTAATTTGCTGCCGTGCACATGGAAGGTTTAACCCTCTATGAATTGGGAATAATTCTCAAGTTTAGAGGGATTAAATTAAACCCGAAGTAATAATAATGTGCAGTTTCAATTTAATTGTCTACTTAAAATAAAATGACAAACAAATGAAGGCTAAATGATTAATAGCATGCTTTTATTCACCTCCTCAACAAGCAAAATGGCCAGTTATTGAATATTTTATTGTGAGTGCAAATGATGTTAATTGTACTAGAAACATGCTCTAATTTTTAGTAATTTTTTTGACTGAATACTGCACTGAATGTGAGGCTCTTCATTAAATGGAAATTTGATTTTATTTTGTTTGAACTTAGCCCAGTAAGTACTCCAACCCAGTCCATTAACCAGAGTAAATATCACAGCATATACATATAAAAACCCCCTTCTACATCCATTACTAACCCTGGAATTTGAAGAGGAAGTGCTGCATCTGTTGTCTGCACACCCCACTTTTGTGGAGGAGCTGAGTCCATCTAACCTTCCTCTCCAGTTGGGGCTGGGAGGGGGGAGGAATAAAAGGTGCCCTTTTTGTCTGGGGGATGATTAGGGCTGAAGGGGCTCTTCACACTCATTTTATCCCCGTGCAGTGACCCGGGCTGGAGCCCGCAATTGAGCCCCTATTCCAGCACAATGGGGCTCTTTGGCATTATCCTCTGAATCACTGCAATTATATCACATATTTCTGTACTCATTTCCAAATGTGGTCGCCTATTTCTGTTTACCTGCAGCGCCTGGCAACGGGAAATAATCGTATTTTCCCCCGGGGTAAATCAAATCACCTCCTCTCCAGGACGTGGCACAGCGGTGGTTACCTGGAATGAAAAGGAAACGTTATTTTGTTGTTGTCAGGAGCTGCTTTGCCAGGCAAAGGCATGTCACTCATTTAGAAAAGTGAATAAATGGTTTATGGAAGTGGTAATAGGATTAACTGGGCCACACTTTGGAGAATCCAGAACATCAGGACATTTCTTTTAACAGAGGCTGAGGAGTCAACCAGGTTTCGCTCTGAAAGACTCATCAGGGCAGTGGCCAAGAAACCAGGGCTGTACTGCAGGTCCAGTGAAATAAAAACAGGCTTAAAAGCTTTTTCCTCCCACATTTCTTACTCCTGCTGCTTCCTCCACATCTCCTGGAAGCCACTTGTTGTGTATTTGGCTCCTGCAGTTGGTTTTCCTCCCGTTGGATCAGATCAGAAATCATAAATTGAACCGACTGTGGATTTTTTTTAAAGCAGAGCATCTGTGTTTGCTTCATGACAAATGTAATTCAGAGCAATGATTTGGCCACTTGCTAAAAAAATAGGCAAACCCACAGCCCTTTCTTGTTCATGTTTTTCAACAGTTATCTTTTAATGAAAAGTTATTTTAAGTCTTTCACAGAAAGTGTTTTTTGTTGCAATATCATGGTGTTTCATAGGAACGAGAAGAGAAAATAAAAATACAGAGCTGGAGGCTGTTCTTGCTTGGACAGTCTCAAAAGGACACTTGAGAGAGTGATTTTACCAGGAATATCACTTTTATTTCACTCAGCAGAGTCTCTGAAGAAGGAGAAACACACGCTGCCTTTTGTGGGCTACGTGATTTTTAAGGAAACAACAGAAGCAATATAAGATATCACTTCAACTTTTAGCTGATTCTGCCACTGCTACTTGTGATTTCTACGCTGAATTTAGGATAATGATTGTATTCAACTGTGATCTGGATGTTAGACCAATTTATCATTCACTGGTAATGCAAATTAAAAATGAAGAGAAGGTCCTGCCAAAATTTTCTCCTAAAAAACGTTGGATGAAACTGTTCTGATTCCAATCCCAATTCCTCTATGCACTAAGTCAATTGGCCATATTTGCAGGACATTTCTTGGCTCCAATTGCAAAGTGAAATAATAAAGAATTTGTACAGTTTGTGCAGAATAATTGTGTGTTTGCTTTTTAAATAGGAAAAGCCAGTCTGTGGACAAATATTCCAGCCTAAAGTACAATCCTAACTGGAAGAACACAAGAAAGGCAGGAAAAGCACCTCAAGTTGGAGGAAGCAGCGTGGACTTTTCACAAGGGTCATTTTACCTCCATTCCAGTGGCTCCTCAGAAGAAAAGAGTCAAGAGGAGGCAAACCCACAAAATTCATTCTCAGAATTCGGGTCAGAATTTTTAAGCTTTCCTGAACCAAATGTCCTGGTCAGCAACGAACCCCTTGGGCTCCAAACCAAAAAGAAGGAATCTGGAGATGGTTTTCAGTCCAAAGATCGACCACAGAGAGCCAAGAAAAACTTTGTGAAAAAAAATAAGCAGACTTTAGGATTGCCCTCAGAGAGGATAAATTCCTATCTGGAGTTACACAAGAAGAAACAACAAGGTCTTCAAGAGCAGGTGGGTGATTTTTACATATTTTTATAAATTGAGGACTGTCTAGTGTTAAAATTCAATGCATGGTGAGGTTTGCAGAGGAGATAAGGAGATTTGCAACCTGTCATGCAACTGATAAATTAAGATTTCCAGGGAGAATCTTGTTCCCTATGGAAGAATTGCCAAGTCCAGTAACAACCCCAGCAATGGCCACATTACAAGCCCAGTAAAGCCACGTGTGTTCTTGGCCATGAAGGTGTCCCAGAGGTGATCTCACACTAGTTTTTCATCTCGATGCTAAAGAAATACTGGTTCTACACTGCCCCTTCTCAGTGGTTCTTTCTTTGCTGCCTCTGATTTTTTCCTGCTTGGCCAGCATGAATTTGATGATGATGATCTCTGCTAATTGCAAATTCCAAGTCTTGTTCAGTGCAGAAAATACCAGTTGATGGGATCACAGAGTGGCCTGGGTTGGAAGGGGCCTTAAAGCTCATCCAGTTCCACCCCCCAGTTTACACCTTCCACTAGCCCAGGTTGCTCCAAGCCCTGTCCAACCTGGCTTTGGACACTTCCAGGGATGGGGCAGCCACAGCTTCTCTGGGAATTCTATCCCAGCCCCTCACCACCTTCAAAGGGAATATTCCTTCCCAGTATCCCATCTATCCCTGCCCTCTGGCAGTGGGAAGCCATTCCCTGTGTCTGTCCCTCCATCCCTTGTCCCCAGTCCCTCTCCAGCTCTCCTGGAGCCCCTTTAGGCCCTGGAAGGGGCTCTCAGGTCTTCCAGAGCCTTCTCTTCCCCAGGTGAACCCCCCAACTCTCCCAGCCTGGCTCCAGAGCAGAGGGATCCAGCCCTTGGAGCATCTCCATGGTCTCCTGTGGATTTGCTTGGCCTCAAGCCTGCCAAGATCCCAGTCCAGATTTCCTCTTGGCCACCAGCAGCTCTAGAATCACGTGCAGCACCCGGGTTTGAAGGGCCTGGTTTTCCTGGGACTGTGAAATCTCAGCCAACCTGTGTGAAGGATGAAGGGGAAACGTAATTACAGCTCCTAATGAACCATTACACAGGAGTTTGTTGCTTTTACTTGCTACTTACTGTGCCTAATGGGAAGGTGGGAGTCATTGGATCGCTCCAGGAGTTGTGGGATAGAAAATTCTAAGCTTGGAAAACCACTGGGACTTTGTGCTTGGAGTGAAACTTCTGCTTCCCAGGGCTAATGAGCAGTTGACACAACATCAGAGGGCGTGTGGTGACTCCATTCCTCTGACAGGAACAGTGGACAGGCTTTCTTCTAGCAGGGCTATTAAGAGCACTTGTTTTCTTCCAGTTATAATTTGGCTGATGGCAAAAATAATTAGTGCAGATTGCTGCTAATTAAAGCTGTGTTGATATGATTATGTTTGCTGTCCGGGGAGTTCTGAAAATCTTTCATATCTGAGTCTTGGAGCCAGGGATCAGGACTCCATTGTGTTGGCACTGTTCAAAGATATGTAATAGGAAAAAAGGGTTAACATCAGGGCTGTGATATAAGATTTCCTTGCTGAAGGGGCCATGGGGTCAGCAGAGCTGTGACATGTGCAGGAAAGGGTGTTTCTTCCATCAAAAACTTGATACAGCCACAACAGCAGAGGGGGTGGACTCCCCATCCCTGGAAGTGTCCAAGGCCAGGCTGGACAGGGCTCGGAGCAACCTGGTCTGGTGGAAGGTGTCCCTGATCAAGGCAGGGGGGCTGAACTAGGTGATCCTTGAGGTCCCTTCCAAGCCAGTTCTGGAATTCTAGGATTCTAGGAACAGCATCACCACCCATGTATTTGCTGCACAGGAGAAAGCACTTACCTCTCATGTCCTTAATTCATTGCTCCATGTTGTTGGAAGGGGTGAAAGAAGTCCTGAAGGAAGCATCTTGTTGGCCCATGAGCAAACTTTGGTCGCCTCTCCTGGAAAACTTTACCACAAAGTGCAAAAACACCAAGGGTGTGAAGAAGCAAACAAGCCACAGCCTCTGCTGAGGCAACCAAACTGTTGTTTCCTAAACTGGATTAATCTGAGCTTTGCAGGGGGTTGGAGCTGATTTTATTGATAGGATATTTTTATTGATATGCCACTGGTGCTGTGGTAACGAAACTGTTTACACTGAAGTCAGTACTTTGGAGTTAAAATACTGGAGTTAAAATATTGAAGTTAAAATATTTGCAGCCTCCTTCTTGCAAGATTTACGTCTGTTCTCCCTGTGCATGCGGGCTGCACGTACCAAAACACACCATAAACCTGTGCTGATCTGTATATTTACTAATTTATACAGCATTTTATAAAGCATCAAGTTCTTTGCAGCGTTGCCTGATTCTTAAAGAACCCAATGATGAGTTTCTTTGAGAGAGAGAGAGAGAGAGAGAGAGAGGGAAAGAGAGAGAAGTAGTGGCCCAATCTAGCTCAGCTGTGCTCAATCTGAGTTGCTTTCCTACCTACAAGCCCCTTACTTCAAAGCCAGGAACATAATGTACAATTTTTTAATGGCTCTAGACCAAGGCACTCAGACTCTGTGTGCACTGTGCCTTACCTCCGTGTAAACACCTAATCAAGATTGCCTGTGCTTCAACAATAGCAGCCAAATGCAATTCGAGAACCACAAGCCTTTGAAGTCCTCGCTGCAAAGGCTGGTTTTCTAGTCTGGGATAATGACATGCCATGATTGCTGTCTTTGTTGTATCTTTTCAGTAGAGAAGCAATTACGGGCCTCAATTTAACAGAATAGGCATTACACAGCTTATGATTCTCAAAATGCAATTTCATTTGATCATTTTCTCAATTTGATTGGTATTAATAGAATGGTTCACAAAAAAAAAAAAAAAAAAAAGAGGTAGGAAAAAAAAATGCTGGCAGAGGTTGTGTCCTGTTCCTCTTTCAAAGAGATAATGTAGAAGTATGTTTTACCTGCCCAGGAAACCATCAGTGCAGTGAGTCAGTTGGTTCCACCAAAAACATCCTGCTGCCTGCAGAGCTGTGTCCTTCCACGGTTCAGGAAACCTGTGTGCCAAGTTTTAATTTGCTTTATGATTTCTGCATTTCCATTTGGAGCAATAAACCCCACTTACCTTTTCTTCGTGGTCCTGATCTCCCACCCCCAGAGAGGCTCAGCTTCCCAGAAGGGTTCTTCCACACTTTCTTCCCACTGCTTTCACCATTCTGATTTGGAATTCGTGGTCCTCTTGATCCCAGGTGTGTTCTCAGGGCAAGCCCTGTGTGGGTCACTCCTCAGTGGGGCAGGTACATGGTCACCTGCCGTGGTGACACTGCCCCACTCCTCGAGGTCACTTGGCAGGATAGTTTGGGACAGCACAAATATAAGTCGAAAAAGTTTCAAAAAATAATTGTTTTCCTGCAGTTTTATAGATTAAGGGGGGGGGAAATGATGCTTTCAAGGAAAATGTTCATTATTGATGCATTTACAAGGGCATCACCAGGCAAAAAAATCATTCAGATCAGATTTGCAGCTCCCACATTTGCAGGTCCCATCCTGCTCCCCCAGCTGTGGCCACGTGAAGGTGTTCTTGTCTGTGAGCTTGTTTTGCCAGGTTACACGTGTTGGATGCTTTATTCCTGCAGCTCCCCCTGCCCTTTTCTCCCAATATTACTGTGTTTTGCCATCTCTTTCTGCAGGACTTGCTCAGGCCCTGGCAGAGGGGGGGGGGTGTCATCCATCAGTGTCTGATTGCTTGGCCAGGGATGGTTTCTGGTTGTTTTTCTGTCATTAAGTGCATCCACTCCTAGAAATGGAGCAGCCCAGACACCGGAGGCACACAAGGAGGTTTCTGTGCTGCAAACTTCCCGCAATTTTCTTTTCCTCTCTTCCCCTTAAAAGTAGAAGGAACACTCCCTAATACCACACCACTGTTAACTGGCTTTTTGCTTCCTTTTCTCTTCTAACCATTTGTTTTCTTGTTGCCTGTTACATAATGCCTAACTTCAGCAGTTTAGTTTTAATAGGAGGTGAATTATTGCTCATTCTTTCCCCCAGACTTTTAAAGCCTTTCATTTCTTTGGGCTGTTGCCATAAACATTCTCGATTTTCAGGTTACAGATCCTAAAACAGTTGATGAGGAAGAACCACCACCCCAGACTGTGAAAAAGAAGCCCGAAGACAACCTGAAAGGACAGCAGCTCAAGGTTCCTTTTGGCTAGAATTTAATAACTGAAATATATGTGTAAAATCCTTGAAGTTTGGGTATTTAAAGCTGTCACCTTGTTACTTTTAAAGTACTGGTGACTGACAATAAATCCCTGAATATTTATCAACAGGTAATCACCAAAATTTAGTGCATGTGCTTTATGGAGTGAATATTTTTAAAGCAAAAGGGATCCCAAATGCCAAGGAATTCTGAGCTTAAAGAATCTTGCCTATTTATGGCATTGTTTAGTTGATTTATGACATTATTTAGTTGATAATAATGCAAAATCACAATGGTACATGGTCATGTTTGATGGTTTATGAGGATTCTGAGGTAGAACTCAGTTATTGCTGCCTTATTTGTCCCCTAAAATCCCTGTGAAAATCAAAAGTCACCACAAACCAGAAAATGTTACAAGTAGAAGTAGTTGGACTCACCTCCTCTGTACACATAAATCTGTTTTCTGCTGGCCTTAAACCAATGCACTGTGAGTCTTTGGAGCACTGAAGAGACCAGGTTATGATCACTGATGACAAAACAGGAGCTTCAGAACCAGCCAACTGCGATTATTTCTGGCAAACCTGGTTATTCTCAAGCGTTTGAGGTAATCCAGGCACTGCTTAAATTCCCAGCTGCTCACGCTGGAAGGCTGCACCTCTGCAAAGCACAAACAGGATTTTTAGGCTGCTGTTCATCCGGACAGATTTGCTTAATATATCTGGAATTTCAGGGTGTTTAAGTGGGAAAACTTTGGCCTGCTCCCAGTTTGGCAGGGAATAATAAGGTTGAGCTAACAAATCACCCCGTGGGCTGCAGGAGGCAGGGCTGCCCAGTGCTAAAGCTTTCACCAAAACCCCCCGGTCTATATGTGGATTTAATTCCTACCATTAAGCAGTTATTCTGAGTGCATATGCCATGTGCTGATTGCAAGTGTTGCTGACAAAAGAACCCTGGAGAGACGGGAGGATGAAATGGAGGATTTTAGCCCCGACGAAGATTAAATGGACTGAGAATGGATTTGTGTGTCCCCGTGTCTTTCCTCCAAGTGGGCAACACCTGACGCTGTAATTGGAAAGGGATAAATCTTAAATAAACTCCAGATTTAGAGCAGGGCAGTTCAGCTCACAACAGCAGCCCTGGTGTGGTCAAACTCTGAAATTGTTTCTTGTCATCTGGGTTATGTTTTGGGGGGTACAGGCAGGGAGGAGGTTTAGAAATAAAATCATTCATGTGATTGACATCAGTCTGTTCCTGCTGTGGATCGGTCTAATAGTGTGGACAAAGCCACCTTTCCCTGAAATTTGGGACAGTTTGCTTTGTACAAAGCCATCTTTCACAAAATATGGGACAGTTTACTTTGTACAAAGCCACCTTTCCCTGAAATATGGGACAGTTTACTTTGTACAAAGCCACCTTTCCCTGAAATATTGGACAGTTTGCTCTGTACAAAGCCATCTTTCACAAAATATGGGACAGTTTACCTTGTACAAAGCCACCTTTCCCTGAAATTTGGGACAGTTTACTTTCATTAGAGAATAAAATCCAAGAGTTGCTTTGATTTTTGAATGATTTTCTCCAGGTTGACAGTCCCCAGGGTTGGGAAGGGGTAGTCCTGTGCATTTAAGGGCTCCTGTTGAACACCTAAACTGAAGCTCACCCCACTTTTGGTGACTTGTTTCAGGATCAGCACAAGTTCTCCCAGAGAGACAAAACAAAACCCACCGGGAATCTCGATGGCAAAGATTTTCCAAGGAATGGCAGCCAACAACCCCCTGGAAGAGCAGCAGAACCAAAGCCTTGGCACCACAATCCCCAGCAAAGAGCAGGATTTCAGGCTGCTCCCAGTGCAGAGGAGCAGGACAAGGGCACTGCCCTGCAGGAATGTCTGCATCCCAATCCTGCTGCTGAGCCAGCAGCAAAATCCAACACTGACTTCAATAATTCCCCAAATTCGAGACATTTTGTTAACCAAGGCTTTCCCACACCTACCTGGCCTGTTCATCCCACATCCCAGCACTGGAACCCAGCAGACACCAGCAAGGAGAACAAGAAATATCAGCAGGAATCTCCACATTCACCCCACCACATCCCTGGGCAGCGTTTTGCGAGTACCAGTGGCCAAGCAAGTCCCAGACAGAGGAACATTTCAAACGTTTCATCTGCTTTTAATGCCAGTTTTCAAGAACTGAAGGATCAAATCCCACTTCAGGACTGCAAGAAACACATTCATGAGGATAAAAGGTACCAGAACTATGATATCAGTAGTTTATGGTAACAATATAAGTGTGGAAAGAGTATTATTACAGCACTGTGATGCCCAAAATATATAGAAATGGACAATAAAATGCTTTAAACCCCAAGTATAAAGTTATTCTGCTACAAACCTGCCACTATAGATTATTATTAACTTAAGATTCGTTGTAGTATTGATTTTTAAATATGGCACATTGGCAAAGGGCACTTCCAGGCACAGAACTTCCCACAGCTGGAAGTTTCTAGAAGGAGAAGTTTAAAACACAGATAGGAAAGAGAATTTGTGCATAAAGCAAACCTGGCCTTCCAGGTGGATATCCAGAGTCAGGCCAGTGCCAATTCTGGCTCCCTTCCTGTGGGAAAGAGCAGGAAAATCCTCAGTTATGTGGGATTTATTTCGGTGCTCAGTGGGCCTGACCCAAAGCCATTTAAAAGCAGCTTTCCTTGGCTTTAGGAAACTTTGCATCAGGCTGAAAATCTCCCCATCTATAGTTTTTTTCCATTTATTTTAAGCAGTTTCCACACACTGTGCAAGCAAAGTCAGTCATTGTGAGATACCCATTTTTCCATCTTCATGCTCCCAGTATGTTCCATGTGCAGGTTGCTTGTTGAGCTACCTGCTGTATATAAAAAATATATGTAATAAAATATAAATGGATATAATAATATAAATATATAAAATAGAAATATCATATATAAAATATAAACATAAATATAATATATAAAATATAATATATAAATACAATATATAAATATAATATATAAAGTATGAGTAATAATATAAATATAAAAATATACTATATAAAATATAATATATAAATATACTATTTAAATATGAATATATATAAGTATATAGATATATAAAATATATTATATATAAAATATAATATATAGAATATAACATACACAATATAATATATAAATATAATATATAATATATAAATATAATAATATATAGAAATAAAATAATAATGTTCTATATACATAATCATACATAACAAAATAGATACTTCTAAAATTGTGAAAAATATTTCTTTATAGAAAAATTAATTTATCTAGTAATATATATTATATAAATATATTATAGATTATATAAATAATATAGATTATATATAGATAACCTAGATATAAGAGATATATATAGATTATATATCTATATATATAGATATATAGAGAGATAGAGAGATAGATATATATAGATATATATAAATATATATAGATATATATAGATTATAGGTATATATAGATAGATACATATAGATATATATATAGAGAGAGAGAGAGAGAGAGATATAGATTATATATCTACATATAACATAGATGTCTCTATATAGATATATAGATAAAAAGTGAGATATATATTTATATTATCTATAATATATATAATCTATATATTTAAGGCCTTCCCAATGTTTTGTTCCCAGCTCACCCCCAGCTCCTTTTGCCACCTCCGGCTTTGCCCAGCTGCTGGAGCAGCATCTGCCAGGACTCCCTGGCTTGGCAGGAGCTCCCTTTGCTGACAGGTGGCTGCTCAGCCTCCTCCCCCCTGCAATCCCACGGCTCCCGAGTGGTTCCCGGGGAGATCCCGAGGCAGGGGCAGGAAACACACTGGCAAGAACCAGGAGCAACTCGGAGGGACACCTCACACAAATGAAAAAGCAAACCCAGCCAAGAGGCAGCAAGAAGGTAAGAAAACAGCTGTGGATTGGATGGTTTAACACTTCTATTCCTCCTCTAATTTTTTTTTTCTTAGTAATCCAAAGTTCTTTAGGGAAAAAAAAAAAGTGGGTGTACAGAGGAGGTGAGTCCAACTTTTTCTACCTGTAACATTTTCTGGTTTATGGTAACTCCTTGAGTTCTACCTCAGAATCCTCATGAACCATCAAACACTTCATTGTTATATAAAGCACCCACACCAGCTCGCCCAGAGCATTGAAAAAATCAAGGGCCAAAGGTAAGAAACAGGCACTAAAATCATTTAGTGCAAAGAACGAGGTGATCCCCCAGCTCTGCCCGTGTCACTTGGAGTCCTGGTGAGCTTCAAGGCCACAGAGGGCACCGTTTGTCCCTGAAGTTCCCAGGGATAAGGTGATTTAGGAGCTGTTTGGGTCTGCCAGCAGGCAGCCTGGCCTCACATCTGAGCACACCCTTATCCTGCTCAGGCTCATTTGCTGGCCAGCCCAAATCTCCTGCTTTCCGAGGGATTCCCAGGGAACAGCACCAAACTTGGAGGATTTGCAAAGCTAACGGCATAAACACAGTTCCAAGCCTCCTGATGATCCCATTTGGGTCTTTTTGTCTCTTTTTGTCTCCTCTGTGTGTCCAGTTTCACAGTGGAACCAGTTAACACGGATGCAGTGGAACAGCATAAAGGGATCCCTGTGTGTCCATGACAAATGAAACGTTTAAGAAGTTTGCTCCGAGTCTCGGGGCAGACAAACTTAAGCTGGAATAATTATTGCTGTGTTTCATCTGTACCTTGCTGCTTGGATGCCTCTAAGAAGAATTAGCAGGATTATGATAGTAACTGAAGGGCAGATTTCCTTCCCTTTCTGTTCCCCTGAGCTCAAACCGTTGCTTATATCCTGTATTTTCAGTGGTTTTCTCACGCTTCCTATGTGAGGAATGCCCAGAGAATAAGAGTGTTTGTGTCTCACAGGAAAATCCAGCTTTTCCTAATAAACAAATGCAATTCTACTCATCATCTGAAGTGAGAAAACCCTGATTTTACTGTAGACAGCTAAAGGATTAACCCCTCACGGCAGCTAAAATTAAAAGTTAGTAATTTATATCATAGGGGGAGCTGACACAGAGAAACCTCAGACAGAAAATTCAGTGCATTGAATTAGTTTCTCTGCAGTTGAGTTTTCAATAAATGCATATTTTACTTGCATATAGAAATGTCTTGGTGCTTCTGCTTTACTCCGTGATTAAAATTACTACGGAGCTGATCATAAGGAAGAGTTTTTAAAACATAGTTCACTTCTAAAAATTAATCTGGTACTCTCAAAAGTGCACTTTTCATCGAAGTTTATATTTAAAAAGCACTTTGTACTGAAGAATCTTTTTATTAGAATATTCTGGAAGCATTGGGATCTTTATATAGAGAAGGATTGAAGTGGCATAACCCATCACTCTTCTCTTCCCATGCACTTGTGAAGCTTTTGCTGTGCTCAAGGCATGGATTTTTCAGCTGCCTGTGGATAATTTTCCATTGCAGTTTTGAGAACAAAGAAAGGTTACTGTTGCTATCAACGTTTGCCTCATTTTTTTACCACCAAAATCAGGTACTTTTATCTGCTTCTCTTACAACACCTCCTTTGGAGTCTCTTCTAACAGTCAAAGGGGTCACTTGAAGCTGTTTAAAAATAAAGCTCACAAGAGGTCAGTTTTGACTGAGAAATTACTGCTTTGTGATTCGGATAATTGGCAATTTCCCACCAAGATTCAAAGGAAATACAGTATCCTTTGCCTTGTGCAATTAGCTCAGTCTTGTTGGTCACTTATTTAAAATGAGACGTGCCAGGGGTAAGGCTGAGACCCCGTTTGAGCCCCACTCCTGCTTTAATTATTCTGTCTGTGAACCCAGAGGAAGGAAAAACCTCTCACTGCTGTTTGTTTTTCAGCCGTGTGGCCCAAAAGTCTGCATAAACCTCAACGTGAAGCTTGGGGGCCTTGGACCTGACTATGAGGCCATCAAAGAGAAAGTGAGTAAATCCCTGTCACCTGCCCTGCTTTTCAACTGTGCAAAGTGATTTTAGAGGCAGAGAAACCACTGCTGGGAAGCAACTTGTGGTTGTTTGGTGCTTCCTGTCCTTGGCTCTGGGTCTACCTCGAGATCCTGAAGGGAAATTCAGGTAGAAGGGAAGATAACTGGGTAATTTTAACCCTCTGGTTTTGTAGTTCCAGAAGCAGGGAGTAGCTGACAGAACTCCTCAGTAAATTATCCACCCATGTGACTCGAGCTGCACTGTCATTCCCAGTGCTGAAGGTCTGCCTGTCCTTCCAAGTGGAAGTAAAACCAGTTGTGTGTGAACAGAAGCAAACAGCTGGATGCACATTTATACTCTGCTGAAATGGAGGCAGACTGTTCAGAACACTCAGATGTCACCTTTCTGCTGAGCTCTATCCTCAGCCCAAGGAAAAGCTCTTAAAAATGAAAAGCAACTAAAAAAAAAAAAAAAAAAAAAAAAAAAAAAAGCTGTGCCATTTATCAGGGCTTCCTGTTGTGTTCTGCTGAGGGGGGATCAATGGCCTGGCCAGGTTAAACAGCAGCAGAGGTGTAAATGGAAGGCCTGGTGGAAAAAGTGGTTCATTGATGGATCCACTGAGACATTCAATGACAAACCCTTTTTTCCCCCTTTTTTTTTTTTTCCAGAAGCAGAAGTTAAAGCTGCAAAAGGAATATTCAAGGCAGATTAAGGAATACAATATGAAAAATATTACTTTGGTTCAGAAGTTACCTACAAAACCTCAGGTCACATCTTCAGTGTCGAGACAGAAGGTAAGAACAGATTCCCTTTAAAATACACCCAGGGAGAGATTCTGGGCTTTGCACAGAGGAAAGGGAATAAATTTAACTCAGAGTAGGCTAAAATAGTTTCTCCAGTTTGATTTTCCTTTTAACAGCTCCATGAATCCCAGATTTCCTCTTGTTAATTATTATCCACCTGCCCCTCAGGCTCCCTCCCAAACGTGCCCATCAGTCCCATGGCTACAGTAATTACTCTGATTTTTCAAGCCCACACAACGTCACTTCAGCCTTCACTGGCCTCCAAAAACGGCCCAACTGAGCAATGAGGGACTCCCTGGCATTGCACCCACCCACACAGACCAAGGGAGCACCTTTTCCTCATTGCAGGAATTAACAAAGCCCTGGAAATAACACCTTTTGACCCATCAGTTCTGCAGGAGCTCACCTGCCTAGGGAGGTGTTTCTGCACGGGGGGTTTGATGTCAGTTGAATTCCTCAGTTACTTGCAGTTATTTCCAAACTTCACATGAACCACAAAGTGACAGTAAAACTGAGTTCTCTGGGTGTCAGAAGGGCTTTGGATTCCTTCAAAAGGCTTCCCACACACTCTTCGACCACGAACACGCAGCTTCCACTTGGGGCATAACAGGTGTTTTCCCAGTTCATGCAGCAAACACAGACACCAAAACACATCCCAGGTTAAACCAGGGCTCTCTCAGATCCAGGATTTCTGCAATCCTGTTCCCATTCCCCCTGCAAGACAGCCTTCAGGTTCCAGGCATCATTCCTTACTACTGGACACTGGAAAAAAACCGTTTATAACCTTAATAGACTCGTGTTGCTCTTTCCTTTTTAACACTAAAACACTCTTTCAGTGTCTGAGGTGGCTTCCAGTAGTGCCAGAAAGCAAAACTCCTTGGGGTGGGTTACTTGGCAGTCACCACTGAACCATCTGCTGTTGAATTCTGTCAGAAACAACGTCAGGAATTAGGGGAAATATTAATTGGACTCAGCATAAACCCAAAGTGCTCTTGGAAACATTGGTCAGGTTTTCTCCCCATCAGTTACCCCAGTTTTCCTGGTTTTAGGCACTGGAATATGCCAAGAAGATTCCAAGGCCAAAGACTTTCATGACAAGACCATCAGACAAAGAGGTGAAAGAGGAAGTTCTGTCCCAGACTTCAGATGGAAGCAGCTTCCCCAAAATCCCATCCCTGGAAACTCTGCGGAGCAGACACGAGAAGGAGAAGGAGGTTGTGGCTGCTTTCAAAGCCCTTCACATCCTATAAGGGATACATTTGAAAATATTTGGGATGTCTTCAAATCAAAAATGCCCAAACTATTTAATTATGAGCTCTGACCATCACATATTGATTTACCAGCCCACTGAAATACAAAGTGGCTCAAGTTTAATCACTGATAAATTTTGGACTCGGTTCTACCATACCTTTTTTTTTTTTTTAATAAAATAAACCTTTGCATGTGTAGCATTTTAAATATGGTCTTCTCTGTTACATTTCTTTAAAATAACTGACCTAGCAATTGCATCTTTCAGACTAATCAGCTGTTGGCTTGTCACAGCTGGATCATTTTTGGACACGTCAAACACATGGACCCATCTACAAAACATTAAAAATGAACTTTTGTTTCATAGGATGATCTTAACACCATCAATATTTCTCTTTTTGAAGTGCAGAGGAGATTTTGGCAAACTGTCCAGAAACAAAGCTAAAAATAAGCCATTGCTGGTAAGGGAAGAAAAAAAAAAATATGCACCAAACGCAGCAGTTGGTAATGATACAATACTAATTATTCAAATATTACTCTGTTATTTATTAGGGAATAGTTGTCACATTAAGACCAAAATTTCGAAGCTTCATCTGGGACAAGAAAACTCCAAGTCCTGGCTGAGCAGGCAGACAATCTGTTATTAGCCAGAAGCAGTTGGAAAATGTATTGGGTGACTGAGGATAATTGAGAGCTACATGTTGGAGAGGAAACAGCTTTTAACAGATTAAGTCCATAAAAATAACAACAACCAGATGGGTTTCTTATGGTGGTTCCATTCCTTCAACTTGGTAAATCATGAATTAAGTCAACACGTGAAATGTGATTAGAACTCCCAGCAAGGGAATTTTGACTAAAATCCCCGAGAAAACAGGCTGGTTCCAAGGAAAATAAATAACCAACCCCCTCGTGATTGTGTGCAATTGCTCTGTCTGATTTGTTAGGTCTCTTTTTGTCCCCTGCTGAGTTGGGCTTGGCAGCTGGAAGTTTGGGACACACATGACATTTGGGGAGAGCTTGGTGGGAGAAGCACCTCGGAGTGTGGGGAGGATGCTGTGCAAGGATCACCTTCCCAAACGGGTGAGGCTGCAGGGGGGATGTTTGGCACCTCAGGGAATATTTCCACTTCCATCCTCTGCCTCAGCCTCCCTTCTCCTCACCCTCAGGCACTGCCTGTGCCCTCTCTCCCTGTGGAAGGTGGTAAAATCCACCCATCCCGGCTGGAAAAATGATCCCAGGCTCTGCCAGCCGCTGCCTTCCTACTTTTCATTTTTAAGCCAAATGGTAGCACTTGGAAGCATTTCTGCTCAGGGAACCTCAACTTGTTGTTTCTGCTTAAAAGTGATAATCCCCCCTTAATACAAACCTCAAGTGCCTATTTTAATGAAACCTTCAGATGAATATCAAAGAGCTATTTACTCGTATCTAATATTTTAATTAGATTATATTCTCAATTTAACCCATTAAACCCCCTTTGATGATCTCCATGTTTAGTGTTTAGCCCCAGATGCTGGAGGTAATGAATATTGGACCTTTGATTTAATGAGAACTTCTGCCTTTCCAGCCTGACTCCCTTTGTATCCCCCTTTTTTTTTATTTTCCCAGCTATAGAATCCAGTTAATTGAAGAAGTCTCTTATCACCACACATTAAGGAACCTAAATTAGCATCCCTTTTCTGATTAGAAAATGCGAGCAGACATTTTCTCTTTGATCTGAGGATTGAGTTGAAGTAGGCAACAGCCCCCTGAAAATGAGCTGATGGCCTTATTATTTGGCTGCCATGCAGATGCACCCATGTGGTACAAAATGCTTAATGTCTTAATTGATCACCTTCCTCCCTATCTGGCATCCCACTACCTTTTAAAGCTCCCATAAATTAGGGGGAATCTCTCTGGGTTTGGGGCTTTTTGAAGGAAACAATGAACTTCCTACTGAAATAAAAGCCCTGGATGTGAAGCTGCTCCCGAGGGAGGGGGAGGTTTCTTTATAAATACTCATCATCTCACAAAAATTCAGAAAAGTCTCTTTGTTGGGGTGTTGTTTGGGGGGTTTTCTTCCCAAAATTTGCAGCATAGGTGGAAAGAAAATCTTTTTGATCTCCTCCAATACCAGCAGATGTTTTTTTCCTGCACCCAGCAGGTCTGGTGGCACAAAGAGGGACCACACAAGTAAAAGATGAGCATCCATCTGCTGGAAAGCAAAGGCCAAACCTTCGT